ATGTGGATGGAACTCAAGCCCTGATTCCAAAACTTATCTCCTATATCACTCCAGTACCCCCTTTTAACTGCAAGCCACCTTCCTCTGTTTTAGCTAGGAGTTTGATTGCAGTGTTTTAAAAGTTTGTTTTGGTTTTTGAACCACAAACAAAGCTCTCATTTTTAAGCTTTACATTTTGTCACCCATTTCTAATTGCTCTCAAAATGCAGTGAGCCATCTAATTAAACCACTCCAGGCCTCATAGCAATTGAGTGGCTTGCTAGACCAGTCTTGCTGGATTGGGCAACCTCAACCTTGAGCTTGAGTAAGAATGTTGCCTGTGCTCCTTATTGGCCTTGAGAAGTTGGTGGTTTGCACTGATGTGGGCAACATGGAAACATGGGTGCCCTGAGTGATGTACAGGAGGATAGAAATTCCACAGACCCGGTCACTGAGTCACCCTTTATTTACACGTGCACAGTACTTGACACTGATCCAGCTCCCTCAGAGCCAGCTCTCAAAGTGAACAGAACCTCTGACAACAAGGTGCAGGGCTGGATGAACACAGCAGGCCAAGCAGCATCATAGGAGCAGAGAGGCTGACGTTTCGGGCCTAGACACTCCTGTTTATATCTGTCAACCAGGGCTCCCTGATTAGGCCAGGTTAACAGCCGTAATCGGGGAACTCATATTCAGTGAGGTCCACCTGGCTGACCTCGTTACAATCACTATAGCTACATCTTCAGGAGAGGGGAAATCAGTTGAAAGGGTGACTACATCCAGACCAGATGCAATGGTTTTTTGGTACAACATCATCCTTTTCTACTTCTGATTTTCCTGATATTTCTGCTACTGCATGTGGTAAGGAAATCTTTGATGCAGGTACACTTCAATGCATGTGGCATGTTGGTAAATGTTACTGGACTAGTTATGTAGGAGCCTAAACCCATGCTCTGGGATCATGGATTCAAATCCCACCATGGCAGATGATGGGATTTAAAGTTAGCTAATAAATCTAGAAATAAAAATTTAGTATAATCAATAATGATCATGAGAACTACTGGGTTGCCAGTAAAAACCCATCTAGTTCATTAATGTCCTTTAGAGAAGAAGGTTCTGGCCATCTTGGTGATTCCACAAACTGAACTGAACCAGCTGTATGAATGCTGCTTCTATAAGACCAGACTAGAAGCTGACTATTCTGTGCTAAGTAACTCGCCTCCTGACTTTCCAAAACCAGTCAGAAGTGATAGAATACTCTTCACTTACTTGGATGCGTTCAGCTCCAACAACACTTAAGAAGTTTAACACCATCCAAGAGAAAGCAGCCTGCTTGATTAGCACCACAGCCACCATCTTCAACATCCACTCCCTCCATCATCAACATACAGTGCTAGTAATGTGTACCATAAAAGGGCTTCCCAAAGTGGGCATCAAGACCATAAGTGGGGTCGCCAGCTGAAATGTTGCATTTGCAAGCTCTGAGGCAGCAATAGGCACCATGGAGCTAATACCACATAATAATAGCTATACACCCACTCCAAGAGGTCTTACTGAGGGGGATCATGCTAATTTTCAAACCTTAGAATTATAGTGGTACAGAGTATTAGAGGTCTACAGCACAGAAAAAGGCCCTTCGAGTCTGTGCCAGCCAAAAACAAGCACCTAACCATACTTGAGATGGGGTCACAGCAGAAGCACATTTGGACTGCAGAATGTACTGCAGGAATTCACCAAGCCTCCTTTGGCAGCACCTGCCAAACCCATGACCTGTAACATCTCAAAGATCAAGAGCAGCAGATGCATGGGAACACCACTACTTGAAAGTTCCCCTCCAAGCCCCACAGCATCCTGGCTTGCAAGTATATTAGCATTCCTTCAGTGATGCCAAGTCAAAAACCCTGGAACTCCCTCCCTACCAGCATGTGCTACACAGCAGACTGCGACGGATAGAAGGCAGCTTAGCACCACCTTTTCAAGGCAATTAGCAATGGACAATAAATTGCTGCCCTAGCTGTTGAAGCTAACTCCCATGAATGATTAAAGAAAAGGCTAGTTGACACATGCTGGCCTTGCTCTGGACCCAGGCTCTGTGGTTTGGGTGGTTTTCTTATGGATGAAAACAGGCATAACCAACATGAAACAAAAAAAACTTCAGTCCACATGTCATGGGGAAAACAGACAGAACTTTTAGCTAGTCCTAGTCAGTCTTTTAGCTACGTGTTTCTGCACAGAACACAATAGATTGCTACAGTAATACTTCATTTCTGTAAACATTACACTATATTTGCCTGTGAACACGAGCCTTACGAATGGGTCGAACCTTTGTCCCATCTAGCTCTGGCCCTGACCCAAATTTCTGGGTCAATAGCCCCATAAAGGTTCTGTAAGCAATAAAGAGTGCAGTTTGTGAATTGGAGCTGGTAGCATATGCAGACAGCAGTCTAACCTACTGCTGTAACTCTTTCTGCAGTGGTTGGTTGTTCTGCCACTGGCTAACAGAATTTCTATTAGTCAGTGCTGAATGCCACCCAAATTCTATTTATTTCTCTCTCCTCTCCACTCACTAAATCATCTTCCTTTCTGTATTGAAAACAATGATCTCTTGCTCGGCCTCAGTAGGTACCTCATTCCGACTACAGAGTCAGAAAATTGAGGATTTAAGTTTCACTCCAGAGACTTGAGCACATGATCCAAGTTGACATTCCAGTGCAATAGTGAAGTAGCACCCCACTGTCAGTGGATCAGTTCCAAAAGGGTACTGCACCGACAGAGGGTTGGTCCCAAGGGAGAGCTGCACTGTTGGAGGGGCAGTACTGAGGGAGTATCACCCCATCAGACGGTCAACACTCAGGGATGTTACCTTGTCACAGAAACATTACTGAGGGAGTGCTGCACTGCCAGGCAGACTCCATCTGTCCTCTCAGTTTTATTTTTAAAAGATCACAGGACATGAGAATCACAGACTAGGCCAGCATTTATTGCCCATCCCTAATTGCCTTTAAGAAGGTGCGGCTTCTTGAATTGCTGCAGTCCATGTGCTGTAGGTAGATCCACAATGCCCTTAGGAAAGGAATTCCAGGATTTTGACCTGACAACATTTAGGGAATGGTGATATATTTCCAAGTCAGGATGGTGAGTGGCTTGGAAGAGAACTCAGTGGTGTTCCTATGTGTCCTTCTAGATGGGAGTGGTTGTGGGTTTGGAAGATGCTGCCTAAGGAGTCTTGGTAAATTTCTGCACTACATCTTATAAATGCCACACACTCCTGCTACTATCTATCAATGCTGGAGGGAATAAGTGTTTGTTGATACGGTGCCAATCAGGTGGGCTGCTTTGTCCTGGATGGTGTTGAGTTTCTTGAGTGTTGTTGGAACTGCAACCACCCAGGCAAGTGGGGAGTATTCCATCACACTCCTGACTTGTGCCTTGTTGATGGTGGACAAGATTGGGGAGTCACAAGTTGAGTTACTTGCTGCTATATTCCTTGCCTTTGACCTGCTCTTGAAGCCATGGTATTTTATATGGCTAGTCCAGTTCAGTTTCACATCAGTTGCAAGTTGAATACAAAAGACCCAACGGACACTATTTAAAGAAGTGCAGGGGTGTCTCCCCAGTGTCCTGGTCAATACTTATCCCTCAACCTCTCGTCATTTTCTCTTCACTGTTTGTGAGAGTTTGCTGTGCAAATAATTGTCTGTGACATCTTCTAGATTACAACAGTGAGTACATTTCAAACAAAGAACTCAGCATTGGCTATACATCATTTTGGGACATCCTGAAGTTATTAATGGCAGCCTATAAATGCTTTATTTAATTTGACAGGCACAAGTTACCTCTTCACGATGCCAAAGTAAATGTTGGCAGGAATTAATCAGTGGAGGGCTGTAGGTAGACCTTCTCCTTAATGAAAGCAAAGTACTGCAGATGCTGGAGATCTGAAATAAAAACAGGAAGTGCTGGAGAAACTCAGCAGGTCTAGCAGCATCTGTGGAGAGGGAAACAAAATTAATGTTTCAACTCCAATGACTCTTCTTTGGAACCCTCCTGGCTCCTCTCCTTACTTCACACCCAGTATCCAGCAGGGATGGATGAATAGTGACCAGGAGCAAGAAGTAGGTCAGCAGAAACTGATTGAAATGCCCCTTAACATTACCTCAGTGAAGACTCCAAACTCAGGCCACTGTTGGACAGCAAAAACATGTCTGCTGAGTGTAATAAATAAAGGTCTCTTGTATTCAGTCCGTAAAGAGGAATGAAATGTAACTAGTTTTGAGAGTCTTACCCTGTACGTCTAATATCAGCAAGTCTGCCATTACTAATATTTAAAAGCTTACCTTAGCACCTCTAAAGATGAGCATTTCATTTTTACTGTTTTTAAATCTTGTTATGATCTGTTTTATTTTCAAATGATTAGTGCTTTTGTTAAAACATGGGGACAGTAGCACAGTGGCCTGGGATAATAGGTCTGGGATAAAAAGCTAGTTTCAATGACTTACAAAACAACCAGCCTGTTTAATTCACTATGGTCTGTGGTTGTGGTTTTTGGATCATTCATGGGATGTGGGCATTGCTGGCTAGGAGAGCATTTATTACCCACCCCTAATTGCCCAGGGGGTTGTTAAGAGTCACCAACGTTGCTGTGGGTCTGGAGTCACATGTAGGCCACAACAACACATTTCCTTCCCTAAAAGGACATTTTGAACCAGAGGAGTTTTTATAACAATTGACAATGGTTACCTGGTCACCATTAGCTTCTAATTCCAGATTTTTATTGTATTCAAATTTCACCATCTGCCCTGAGGGGATTTGAACCCATTTCCTGGAAACAAGTTTAGGTGCTGGATTACTAGTCTGGTGACATTACCACTATACCACCAATTCCCCTGAGTGTGTGTGTGTGTGTGTGTGTGTGTGTGTGTGTGTGTGGAGGGTTGGTTGGAATCTGCCATCCTTGCCCAGTCGGATCTGTAGTGTATAACTGGATAATCTCATTCTAAACAGACAAAGATTCAAAAATCAAAATTATAAAATATTTTAAATTATCAATACAATGTACACATGCCTAAAAGAATTTCAAATCGTTGCACACATTTACACTGAAGGTCAAACAAATGCACACAAAACAACCATATCTACTGATACTAGTGTCTCAGATACAAAATGAGGATAAATTGTCAAAATTCCCTTTCGAGGAAGACAAAACTAAGACTTGAAATTAAAAGAAGATCATTGCCCAGATTTGAATGGAATTGATCAGTGAGCAGGACACTAGGTGACATGGTGATGATGATGTATTTCAGGAAGGAGTGTAGTGTTGTTGTCTGTTGGACTGTGTTTCGGTCACTGGCTGAAGTGCTCCAACAAATCATTTTTGCAACTTCTAAAAAAAGAACTATTTGTACCCAACAGATGTAGTGGTGTTATTCACCTTCCTGTTTTCAAATAAATTTCTGGCAACCATAATCTACCAGCACTGCTCTCTCAAGGTCACCACCTCAGCCATTAATAAATCCCTGAATTCAACTTGTTTTATTTACCAGGAATATGGTGTGATTAATTTTTAAAACAGCTGCTTTCATTATTTTATTTCAATTATTTGCAACAGTTTGTGTAATATATTCAGTGCAAATTAAATTATTTGTACAACCACCCTGAAAATGGGGGCCACACCATCTAGCCAGAGGGGCTTATTAAACAAAAATCAGTATATCCCCTTGCCAATGCATCCATGCCCTCAGCATTGTAACCCAGTAATAAAAACTAAATTAAGGTGGACTAAAATCTTTTCAACCTGGTCTGCCCTTCCTAGCTTAGTCAATAAATATTGTCCCATATTTTTGCAGTTTGAGAGAGTTTTCACTTTCCAAGATGACTTCCAAATGAAATGGTCCCCAGATTTCAACATAGTTGATTGTGAAACATCTTGAAATTTTTCAAAGACATGGTAAGGTAATAATATATATGTGATGTACAGTCTTTTCTCCAATTACCACGAGCATTTAGACCTTGTGGCCTCAGCTGTTGGGCTGCACTGGTCATATTCGTGGATTCAACTCTGGGCTGACAATGGCCCACTCATGATTCCCCCTCAAAATGGCTAAATGATATAATCTGATTTGGCAAGTTTCTTTTTCTTAGTTTTAACTGTGAAAGAGTCCTGTGGACATGGTCATCTGTCAATAAATTGTAGATTGATTTCATGCTCTGGCACCAGCAGAGTTCGAGTCATTGGCTTTACGATGCCTCCCTTAAACTCTGGTCTCACCTCAAAGTGGATTAGAATCTGAAAAAAAATAAACAAAATGCACCACCATGAAATATTGTGAATGCTGGCAGATAATTGGAGATGTCAAGACTGAGATTGATGAATTTTTCAGCAGGTAGGCAAGGGATATGGAGCAAAGGCAAGTAAATCAAGTTGAGTTAGGTCCAGATCAGCCATCACCTAGCTGAGTTGTGGAGCAGGCTGAAGGAGCTGAATGACCTCCTCCTATTCCTAGTTATTGATAAAACCATCATCTAGAAATGATTTAACAAGCCAGAAGCCAATGCAAATCTTACACATACTACTGAGTCAGCTAGTGCTATAACTATTTCACTTAAAAATATTAAATATCATGGCCATGAAACAATAAACCCATTTTCTATTGTGCCCAGCACAGTCTAAATTCCCCAACTTACTCGAGCCAGTGCTAGGTAGATCTCTAACTCTGCAATTCTTCTTCCAATGCAGCTCCTCTTGCCAAATCCAAATGGGATGGATGCATAGGGATGAAAACTCTGATCCTTGTGAAGCCATCGTTTGGGCTGAAAGCAGTCAGGATTGGGGAAGATTTCCTTATCTCGTGAGGTTGCATAGTGACACAGCGTAATCAGAGTCTGTTTAGAAGAGTGAAGACCATTCAGAATTATCGAGGCACCATCAGAACAATGATCAGCTATCAAAACACATGGCCACCATGAGGGTGCAGCAGTATTTCCATGCAATGTACCTCAAATAGACACAGGTGGTAGTTCACATCTTCAAGGTCAGTGAAAGAACAAAGCGCTTTGTTGGATCTTGTGGAAGAATTTTTTAAAAATTAACCTGCCACCTAAAGGTGTTGGTTATGGTTGAATTTGCTGCCCAATGTAAGAATTACTTGTGAAATCTCATTTCATTTGCTATTTTATACAGTCAGTCCTCATTTTAAGCTGCATCATTTCTGTGTTGCTCTGCTTTCATCTCACAGTTATAATGAGTGTGCTTAATATCAAGGCTGCTGCTTCAGTGTTGTTTTACACTAGGACAAATGTCAGAAAGGTCACCACCCTTGTCCACCCCAGTCCAACACAAGCACCTCCACCTCATAGAACAAATGTAATATTGCATAATGTGATCAGTGCCATTTTGGAGCAGGGTCTCCTACTCCCTGGCTCTCTTCCACATCTCATCTCTCTCCTGCTCACAGCCCCCCTCATTCCCTTTCTTCATCTCTACATCCCTATCTTAGGCCGTTACTCACAGCAAGCGTTCAGGAGACGGAAGCAGCGATCAGGAAGGTTGGCAGGTGGGAGAAAGAAGCAATGAGCAGGAGAGGCTGGTGGGTAAATTGGCAATGGGAGGCAAGTAGAAAGAATTAGCTTTTTTTTGTACTTTAAATATTTTTTAAAAAGTTATTTCATTTACAAATTTAGGAATTTAAGAATTTATTTCAACTTACAGTTTATGATTTTTTTTCTGATGAGAAAGGTTCTGTAAGACTTAACTACAGCTTTTACATTGGTTTTGATGGGAAAACCTGATTCGCTTAAAGTTGTTGCAATTCTTAGGAATGATACAACAACATTAAGTGAAGATTTACTGCACTGTTTCATGTATGTAGTAGAGATCTTAAAGGGATTTGATAAGTAAACAATTATTACATTTAAGACTATGAAAGAGATTAGTAGGGTAGATACTGAAATGTTTCCACTTGTTTGGGGAAGTCCAAATCAAGGTGGGTGTAAAATGTAATCTAATCACGAATAAATCCAATAGGGAATCCTTTAGGGAGAGGGAGGGAAATGTTTAGGGAGGAAATTCCAGACCTTAGGGCTTTGGCAGATGGGGACTCCCCATACCCTCTGGATTTAAACAAAAATCTTACAAACCTCTACGCTGCTTACTTTTTGGGGAATGATGTATTCTCCAATTTGGATATCTTTATCTGGAATCACACGAGCATTTCCTGGGATTACAGGATAAAGCCTAAAAAAGGTGGAAAAATGGTACATTACATGCATGGTTTAGTCAGAATTCCCTCATGTACTCCTGATGTCATTGGCCATTTCTCTCATCAGTGTGTTGGCTTCTGATGATGGACATCTGCGCTTGAGAGTTGAATACTTTGTCTGCTTTTGACCAGTGTTGGCATCAGGCACTGCCCACTTGGGGAACAGCTCCCTTTAATCTGCACCATTGATGTACCTCTGCTCCAACCTCAGAACAATGCCCCGACTGCCATTTGCTCACTTCGCATACCAGCCATGCCAAAAAGTAGTAACATTTCTAGAAAACTCCCAACAAATTCATGCTCGTTCTCTACAGATGAAAGGTAAATGAACTTTCAGATCTTCCATTGTTTCCAATTGGGCGCTGACCTCTGTTAATTTTTTTGATAAGTTGCTGTTCCTTCATTGAGGGAAAATAAACAAGTTTGCATTTGGTTTTCAGGTCAGAATTTGTACTTGCGTCTTGCAGACACAAATTCTTGGGTGCAACAACAGAGATGCTGGACAGAGGATGAAGCATATCAAGGGGACACCCATGTTAACAAGGTAACAACACTTATTCTTTAACCTCACCTCAGTACTTCCTTCACAACAGCTTTCATGAGGGACATCTTTGCCACATCAGTGGCTGAGGGAATATGCTTGTCTCCAACTATCGCTTTGATTTCTCGGTGGAGGGCTGTCTGAATGTCTGGGTGCCTGGACAACTCATATAATGTCCATGACATTGTGCTGGAAATCTATAGGAAACAGAGAGAAAGAGAACATGGAGCAATGTGATACTGGTGCTGAAAGGAAGGTGAACCATCTAGTGTAGCAATGAGTGATACAGGTAAGAAAGTCAACTCTCAGTCTCTGCTTTTAGTTCTCAACTAGTGTTACAAATGTGCTAAATGTCCTTAAGCTTACATGAGAAACTATTTACCAATGCCCCCTGCCCCAGTTCCCATGATTGGCAGAAGACAGGACTGGATTTGGGTGTGATGCTTCTGTAATGGAATAACCTGCCAACACTGACATTGATAGACAATAATATTTGTTAGGGTGGACATTGAGCATTCCATCCAATCCAGCAGGTTCCCACCCAGTGAGCTCCGACAGAATTACCCCAATGAGTTTTACAGAGTTTGAACACCACAAAAACTAATATTGACAAGCACTTACTGTGTCTACACCAGCGAGTAACAACTCTGTGACATTGCCATAAATAGTTTTCATGGGGAGATTCTGCGATGACAGAAAGTAAGTCAGGTATTTCCCCTCGATTGGCTCCTTTCTAGCTACTTTCTGTTGAATTTCAGCCATCCTTCGGTCTATGTGTCCTTTAGCTGAAAAATAGTTGCAACATGGGTTCAAGGATAATGCTGTGGAGAACAGCACTTTATCTAGTTTGCACTGACCAGTGAATCTCTGTTGGAATAGCAACCTGGAGGAACACAACACCGCTCCTGGCACAATCTAATGTTCTAAGTGGAATTGTACATAAACCCTTCCAGAGGAAGTGTTTGATTTCGGTATAGCACAGTGGTGTTATTTTCAAACCTGATCACTCCTTACATGAAAAAATAAAGGACTTTCTCATCTCATTGAGGGAATTACAGTACCCAGGAACTCGGCACCAGCATATTAGTACCAGATTTTGCTTGTTTTTTTTTGTTGCTGCTAAAGATTTCAGGTGATTGGTAAAAGATCTTGGGAGAGGGAGATGAGTTTAAAACACTGAGTTTTTGTGATCTTCTCCTCTAGTGTAACATTGTATGTTTATTATTCTGCTTAATGATTTTCCCTTGTGCCTACTGCCATGGAACTTCCAACAACTCCCTTGCCCTTTTTCTCTCTCACCCTATGTAGCATCTTCATTGTCCAAGGCTTGGTAAATCAGAGCTTGTGCCAAGAATATCACTCCAGGTTAAGGCAACAAAGCAGTCTTCAAGAACTCTCTCAGGTGATACAAGGATTGAATCCATGCTCTTGGCGTTATTTTGCACTATGCTGTAACTGACTGAGCTAACGGACCCCTTCCCACTCCCAGTTGTAAAGAGGCAATTATAGCTTTCATACTGTATTCAAATTCACCGGAGGAGGAAAAGTAATTGAGAAGTTCTGCTGATTGAGCAGCACTAGAGATTCCCAGCAATCTGCACCACAATGACACACTCTGAGCTATGTCATAGACCACATGCTGCTTCCACTGTGAGCACCTGTCTGCCAGCACTGCAAAGGGCACCATCACCCTCAACTCTGGGAACCTGCCAGGCTGGAAGTGCAGACATTTGGATGTATAAAGCAGGACACAGACACCGGGGTAGGTTTTTACTTTTAGTTGGACACTGAATGATAGGCACTGAATGCCAAACGGTGTTAGCTTTAAAACCGGCAGTTTCCTTACCCTTTCACTGTATTCTTTTCTCTCTTTTCAAATACTGACCCAATTTAATGTGAGTTAATTTTACAGTCTGCTGTTTGTGGTGAAACATGATCAACATCCCTCCTACATCCTTGTCTGCTTCCTCAGCCCACAGCATTGAACTGTGCACCAACTCCACTGCCACTCAAAACATCTCAAATTACCAAAAGAAAACATGTAATCCCAGCAGGCAATAAATTTGCACCAAGGTTTTGGATAGATTTTGTGCAGAAACTTTGGCATTGCCATGGTGATGAGTGTCATTTGAAACATGGTGTTAATCGATTGGATAAAATCTTCTGTTTCCTTGGGAACATCAGACTTGAGGCAGCCAATCCGTGTCTCAAAGAGCACTGAAGAGATACCTGGAAAAATTAGCAGAGGTGAACAGAGATTACTGCTTTGAAAGTTTAAAAACTAGCTCAGTAATCTCAATATTATTTGGGGCTGATTGGTTTAAAACATTATTCTGTTAGTCCTGGAACCTGAACTTAGCCACATCTCACAGAAGGCCTTTGGATTTTGTTCCACTTTCAGGAATGTGAACTCCCTGAGCTGCTCCCTCCTGCTTAAGCTTGTTAATTCTTGGGTCCACAGGCCAACTCTGCATTTTATCAAGTTAATACTTTATCCCACACCCACGCTGACCTCCCTGTCCTTGTCCTCCTGCACTGTTCCATTGAATTGAAGAACCATAGCAATGTTGTAGCACAGAAGGAGGCTATTCAGCCCAGCATCTATGTCAGCTAAATAAACTAGCTGCCCATTCTCATTCCACTTTTCAGCCCCTGGTCTTTAGCCTCGCTAGTTACAGCATTTCAGGTGCAGATCCAGGTTCCTTTTAAATGACCTGAATTTAACTGAGTTTCTGCCAGACTGAGCAGCGAATTCCAGACACTGATCACTCTCTGGGTGAAAATGTTTTTCCTCATGTCCCACTAATTCTTTTACCAATTGCCTTAAATCTGCACTCCATGGCAATTGACCTCTCTACGTGGAGAAACAGGTCTTCCCCGTCCACTCTATCCAAGCCCTTCATTATTTTGTGCACTTTAATTAAAGCCACTCCTTAGCCTAAACTGTTCTAAGAAAAACAAACCTAGCCTATCTAAACTTTCCTCATACCTACAATTTTCAAGACCAGACAACTTTCTTGTAAATCTTCTCTGCACACTCTCCAGAGCAATTATGACCTTCCTGTAATACGGTGACCAGAATTGTACACAGAACTTCAGTTGTGGCCTAATCAGTGTTTTATAATAGTCCAGCATTGCATCCCTGTCCCTTGCATTCAATACTTCACTCAATGCAGAAAAGCACCCCCATACCTTCTTTACCACTTTATCTACCTGTCCTGCCATGTTCAGAGATGTCTGAGCATGCACTCCAAGGTCTCTCACTTCCTTTAGCCTTCTCAAAACCCTGCTATTTATTATGTATTCCTTTCATTTGTGTATGCCCCCCAAATGCATTACCTCACACTTCTCTGGATAGAATACCATTTGTCACTTTTCCTCACACTCAATAATTGATATCTTCTTGCAGTCGACAGTGATCCCCTCTATTACTATAAAACTACCCAGCCAACTTGTGTTGTCTGCAAATTTCCCAATCATGCCTCCCATATTTAAGTTTTAATCATTAACACACATCACAAACAGCAAGGGACCCAGCACCGATCCCTGTGGACCACCACTGAAAAACACTTTCCATTCACAAAAATATCTATTGACCGTGTCCTTTGTTTCCTGTCATTGAGCCAACTTTGCCACGTTCCCTGTATCTGATAGGCTTTAATTTTTCTGACAGCAATGTGGGACCTTGTCAAATGCCTTACTAAAATCCATATAGACAACATCCACCACACTACCCTCATCAATCCTCCTTGTTCCACCTTTTGTGTCCTGCCCTCTTTATCCTGCCTGAAAACTCTATCCAGGGATGTTCAGCAGCCTTGTCTCTTTTAAACCAGATTATATGATATCATATTATCTGTGCTCTCAGCTCATTGGCTTTATTCACTATACTCTTCATGTCTATGTGTATACGGTATATCTTTTAATGCTGCCAGTTCTCTTTGCTGTACATTTTTAACCTCTGCCTTCTCATCTCCCAGGCACTTTAATGCTTTTGGGACTCAATAATAAGTCAACAATTTCAGATCATCACCTCTGCCCCTATTTGTTCAGTGCTGTTGGTGATTCTGTTGATGTAATTTATATCATCTCCAACCCAATCTTTTGTCAATTTACTTGGTCCACTATCACCCCATTTTGCCTTTCACCATCGTCCCTTGTCATTCAATGCCTTGGCCTTCCACGCTATCATAAACCTTCCTTTTTTTTCCTTTCCATCTGCTCTTCATCATTCCCTGCCTTTGTACTTGCTTTAAAATATTTTACATGGTAATGACCAGATCATTAGTTTCAGTAATGTTCCTTCAGGTACAAGAGATGTGACTGGATAGCAGTCATCAATTTTCACTTTTAATTTCAAGTTTTCCAACAATTCACAAGATGTGGTTCATTGACCAGGACATCTGATTATTATCAGATGAACAGGAGTTTTTGTCGGAAAAAATGATAACCTAACACCTGGTGGAAAGCCCACAGGATTGGGTGCATTGCTGATTTTATACCCTGTCCAGATTTATTGTTGAGTGAATTAACTGAGAACCATGTTGAATGGGTGTAAAAGGACATAAGGATCTATTGAGAGGATTGAACAGCATGATAGCTCAGTGGTTAGCAGTGCTGCCTCACAGTGCCAGGGATCCAGATTAGATTCTAGCCTTAGGCAACTGTGTGGAGTTTGCACATTTTCCCCATGTCTGCATGGGTTTCCTCTGGGTGCTCCGGCTTCCTCCAACAGTCCAAAGATGTGCAGGTTAGGTGGACTGGCTATGCTAAATTGTCCATAGGTCCAGGGATGTGTAGGGTAGGCGGATTAGCCATGGGATATGTAAGGTAGGGAAGTGGGTCTGGATGGGATGCTCTTCAGAGGGTTGGTGTGGACTTGATGGGCTGAATGGCCTGCTCCCACACTGTAGGGATTCTATGAATTACATTCTCTGTCCTTTCCCCTCTTTCTATAAGTAGCCCTTACCTTCTAATCCAAACTTATAAAACTCTTCTGCCAGATCCTTCACCAAGACCTGGTCGTTCTTGGTTTGTTGGTGCCGGAGCCTGTGGATCAGGTCAGTGACAACTTCATTGAGGACACCACCGTACGCCTCCACTTCCTTTGGTTTCAACATGTGTTTGCTGAGCATGCTGCGGAGCCTCTGCCACTCCTCTCCTTCCCTGCAAGAAAGAAAGCCCTTAACACAGCAGAACTAACAGCAATGGCCAAACAGCTTGCTGCTTACAAGGTCAGAAGGTCACAAGGTATCTTTATATACATTAACCATCACTATCGTTTATGAGGTAAGAGATCACTGACAGTTTGATATAGTTGGGTCAACAGAAGAGAGGCCATTTGACTCATTCCACCTGTGCTAATGCTAACTTTTCAAATGAGCCTAATCTAATCTAATTCCTTTTTTCCCTGCTCTTCCACTGCATTCTTTTTATATTCTTCCTTTTAAATACTTATCTAATTCACTTTAACGTGGCATTAGAATAGGAAAGAAAAAGAACTTGCATTTTTTTACAATGCCTTTTACAACTTCCAGACATGCCAAAGTGCTTTACAGTCAATTAAGTATTTTTGAAGTCACTGTTGTGGTGGAAGACCTCTCAAAACTAATTTGCATCCAGGTAACTTCCACAAACAGCACTGTGATAATGATCAAATCATCTGATTTAGTGATGTTGGTTGAAGGATAGATATTGGCCAGGATTCCAAGGAGAATTCCCCTGCTATTCTTCAAAATGGGGGCTGTGGGTTTTTGTTTTATCCTCCTGAGGGGGTCAGTGGGATTTTGGTTTAATGTCTCATCCAAAAGGCAAATTAACTGATGCAGGACTACATGCAAAGGGAACAGGCATTGGAGATGGGTCAGTAAGAGGTGGTATCAATTATCTGATCTCTTCCCACTTTGAGCACAGCTCCCTGTTGGAAGAGTGAGGTGGCAAATTGGCAATTTATCCTGCACTGTCTACCTCTCATAGTAAAGCATTCAATGTACAACTAACATGGGGCTCTCGTAGTGTAGTGGTAGCGTCCCTATCTCTGGGCCAGGAGTCCTGGGTTCAAGTCACACCTGCTGAAAAGGCGTGTAATAATACCTCTGAACAGGTGATTAGAAAAGATCTGTACAACTAACATCCTCTGTGGAAAAAATGTCTTTGATATTAATCCATCATTCAATTGGTAATGAGAGCAGTAGAACAATGTTCGATGTCAACTTAAAATCCTGATGTAAAACTCGCACATCCTCTAGTCCTTTCTCCCTTATACATTTAGCCATCTTCACCTTAAATACAGCTATACAATTCAGCTCAACTATTTCTTATGGCAGTAATTTTGAGATTCCGACAACTCTCTGGGGAAAGACATTTCTGTTGGATTCCCTTAAAGTTTATTTGTGACTATCTTATATTTATGGTCCCTAGTCTGGTCTCTACCACAGGTGGTGGCTTTTTTCTCACTTCTTTTCTCTCTTTTCTACAATCAGTCTTTCACGACCTGACTCCCCAAAAGCCTGTCCACCATCTATAAGGCACAAGTCATGAGCGTGATGGAATACTTCCCACTTGTCTGGATGGGTGCAGCTCCAACAACACTCTCAAGAAGCGTGATACATGACAAAACAGCCCCCTTGATTGGCACCACATCCACAAACATTCACTCCCTCCATCACTGACACTCAGTGGCAGCAGTGTGTACCATCTATAAGATGCACTGCTGCAACCCACCAAGGCTGTTTTTGACAGCACTTCCCAAACCCACTACCTCCACAATTGAAGATAAATGCAGCAGGTGCATGGGAACACCAATGCCTGCAAATTCCCCTCCTAGTGCCACACATCATTCTGACATGGAAATATGTCACTATTTCTTAAGTGTTGCTGGGTTAAAATCCTGGAACTCCTTCTCACAGTACTGTGAGTGTCCCTACATGCCATGAACTGCAACAGTTCAATAAGGCAGCTCACTATCATGTTCTCCAAAGCAATTAGTAATGAGCAATGAATGTCCCAACCAGCAATACTCACATCCTGTGAATTAATTTTTTAATAAAGTGTTTGCTGATTTTCTGTTGAGAGCAGTGGAACATGTATTTTGGAGCTATGCTTTAAGCGCAGAGCTCAGTTTGGAAGCCTTATTATTCAGCCCTTCAGTCTATCAACTGAGGGGCAGAACCAGCAGGCATGCGAGTCATTTCTTCTTTTTGCTTATAACTGCACCCATTGTGCTTTTGTTTTCACCGTAAAGCTTTTGGCAAAGGACTGAAAGCAACACGCAAATTAATCACGACTAAGAAAGAAAATCACCAACTGTCTCTGGGTCATGTGGCTGGCAACAGATCCATGGAAATGTTAAAAACCTCCAGGAATGGCCAGGAATCAGCAGATAGTAGTGACCCTATGTGATTACTGTCACCCCATGTTAACTTATCAATGCAGTATTCCTGTTCCCAAGGAGCAAGTACTGTAGAAGAGTGTGGAAGCTAGTAAACCTTGGTTTCAATTGATCAAGAGGTTATTATTTCCGTAGCTATTGCACTGTCAATGTTTTACAGTCAAGACTTAAGGGGCTAATTAGCCTCCTCATGTTCCTGTGCTTAAGTCAATCAGCTTTGATCAATGTTGAGCGATGTCTTCCTACCGTCATTTGCCTTCAAACTATTGAAACTGTCATGTAGGTCAATGTGGCAGTCATTTATGCACAGCAAGATCCCACAACATGGAAGGATAAGCAGTGATGTCTGTTCAATAAGGGATGTTGGCCAGGAAACCATGAAAATTCCTTGTTGTTCTTCAAATTGTGCCAGGAAATCTGAACCAATGAAATATACTTCTGTGAAGCAACCTGAGATATTAAATCAAACCACTATAAAAATACTAGTTGTTATTGTTCTATTTAATGTCTCATCCAAGCAGTTGAAAAGTCACATTCTCCAGCTATCAGTTGCACTTGGGGGCTGTTTCACATAAAAACATACACACACTCGTTTCTTTTACATCTGCTGTAACTTCAGAGTTGATTTGGTTGTACTCACGCTGTGAGGAGTCCATAAGCATGTCCTCTATATTGTCTGTAATCTTTCCAAGATGATAAATCAGAACGGATTGGAAGTGTCCCTTCCTGCCGCAAGACTTGTTCGATTAATGATGGATCTGCAACATGTACTGTCAAGATAGGCCCAAAACGTGCCTTCCACACAGGACCATACTTTGCCTTCCCCTCCAGCTAACAAGCAAAAACAAAGCAGTGAAGACATTGGCAGTATGATCCTTCAGCCCTTCAGATTCCAGTTCAATGAGAGTCAGCAGGTCAGCGGGTGTTGATGGAGTTATCAAACATTAACATTTTTAAAAGCAAAGTACTGTGGATGCTGGAGGTCTAAAATATAAACAAAGGTTTTCCCCTGGACCATGAGAGGCTGAGGGGTGACCTTATAGAGGTTTATAAAATCCTGAGGGGCATGAATAAGGTGAATAGCCAAGGTCGTTTTCCCAGGATGGGGGGAGTCCAAAAGTAGATTTAAGTTGAGAGGGGAAAGGTATCAAAGGGACCTAATGGGAAACTTTTTCACACAGAGGGTGGTGCGTGTATGGAATGAGCTGCCAGAGAAAGTGGTGGAGGTTGGTACAATTACGACATTTAAAAGGCATCTGGATGGGTGCATGCACTGGAAAGGTTTAGAGGAATATGGGCCAACTGCTGGCAAATGGGACTAGATGAATTTAGGATATCTGGTTGACATGGACGAGTTGGATTGAGGGTCTGTTTCCGTGCAACTCTATGTCTTCTATGCTGGAGAAACCCAGCAGGTCTGGCAGCATCTGAGGAGAGAGAAGTAGAGTTAATATTTTGGGTGTGATACGATATGACTCCTTTCCGGAACTGAAAGGAACTGGAAAATTGTGTTACTTTTTATGCTATTGAGGCAAGGAGAGGAGAAGCAAGTGAAACAAATGTTGAGAGTGGCCAGAGCAAGAGGCAAATTAAGTGTTAATAGGAGTAGAGGAGGGATATAGGTGAGGAATAGATATTAATGCTAGGTACTAATTGCAGAAAATAGATTAGCTATTTTGAGAGCAAATCCATGCAAACAAGACACTTTTTTGGGAGAAGTGGGTGTAATCAAAGTGGAGGACATGTTCATGTTCAAGTTCTTGAACTCGGTGTTGAGTACTGAAGACAGTGAAGTGCCTGCATGGAAAGTGAGGTGCTATTCATCCAGCTTGCATTGGACTTCACTGAAACATGTTGGCAGGCCCAGGATGGAAACATTAGCATGAGAACAAAATGGTATATTGAAATGGCAGATGACTGATAGGTCAGGGTCATTACACACCAAGGAGAGAGTTTCACAAAGCAGTCACCAGTCTGCAATTGGTCTCACCAATGTAGAGGAGATTGCATTGTGAGCAGCAAATGCAATAGACTAGATTGAAAGAAGTACAAGTAAACTGCTGTTTTACTTGGAAGGAGTGTTTGGGGTCTTGGACAGTGAGGAGGGAGTTGGTGAATGGGGAAGTGTTACACCTTCTGTGATTGTGTGGGAAGGTGCTGTGAGCGGGGCAGAGATGGTGGTGCTGATGGTGAGATGTTAGGAGTGACAGAGGAGTGAACCTGGATGTTCCAGACGGAATGGTCCCTGTAGAATGCTGACAAGGGAGGGCAACATGTGTTTGGCAGTGGCATCCTGTTGGAGGTGGTGGAAATGGTGGAGGATGATCTTTTGAATGCAGAGACTGGTGGGGGAAAGTGAGGACAAGGAGAAGGAGTGAGGGCAGAATTGTGCAAAGTTGGTCAGACAAGGCTGAGGCCCCTGTAGTAGGTTTAGATGACTGCCAATAGCGGGTAGATTGCTACTCTGTTGCATTATGTAGCTCTATCGTCTGGAAACTTAAGCCACAACTGAGATATCATTCAGAAGATAGTGAAATTATGTGCAGAATTACATTTAAATTCAGTTACTTTTGAATTTTATTTGGAAAGTTAGTGACAATAGACTGGAAATGTGATATTCAAATACATTTTCCTTCAACGATTGCACCATTATTAAAATAGCAGACATTAATGAAGAAAAACTTTTTAATATGCACTGATTACTAACATTAAATTTCTACCTTTTCAACTTTTAAAGAGGGAATCATATACAAGAATTCTCATCCTTTATACAGTATCTTTCCATTCAAACGTGCAGGTTAAGTGGATTGGCTGTACTAAATTGTTCATAGTGTCCAGGGATGCGCAGGCTAAATGGATTAGCCATGGGAAATGCAGGGTTATGGGGATAGGGTAGGGGTGGGTGGGTACGGGTGAGATGTTCTTCAGAGGGTCGGTGTGGATTCGATGGGCCAAATGGGTTGCTTCGACATTGCGGAGATTCTACGATTCTATTAAATTCCAGTCTTCGTAGTACGACTATTCAGTGCTGGCACTACGATCAGATTCCAGATTTAAATATGACTTATTGCAGAGTTACCTTGTCCTTACCTGCATCTCATGTAACCTGGCCAGTCCTTTCTTGAAGAACAAATCATGTGCAAACCGTACAGCGCTAGGACCCGGCATCTCAGACATAGTTCTCAAGCTCTTCGTCTCTTGTTTCTTGGACAAGGCAGATTTCACCATTTCTGTAACGTACCTGCAACAGACAGGGAATCGGTTGACCATCTTTAGGACGAGGGACATTGTAGTCGTTCTGTAAACAAAGCAATGCAATCCTTCTCACCTTCATTCACATAGTCTTTATACCGCTGCAGCACTGACAGCTCAACCAAATTTGGTGGCAAGGAAACGGCCTTGACTGACAGCGTAGGTGACCAGTCGGAA